AAGCTTTGTTTCGTTTGATCCTATTTTTCTCGCTACAACTTCAGCTTTAGTGGAGCCGCTTTTGTTAGTTGATAATGTAAACCTTTAAGTTTTGGGTTACTAGTTTATTTTGCTTTGAGTAATGATTATCAGATTATTCGTTTGCTTATAGGTATTTATTTCTCGATTGTTTTCATTTGTATTACTCTCTTCCTCCGATTAAGGTTAAGGGAATTTTTAACAAGGCATGTGATAATACTCTCCTATATATGCTTTCATCTACAAACTCATACCATTTTACCAAAAATATAAATTTAAATGAACTAATAAATTTAGGTATCAAAACATATATTTATCTTTAGAAAAAACATATTATTTTATTTAGTATAGTTGTTGGATTTATTTTGCACCAAAATAAGTCCTTACTATTTAATGGGAAACAAGTAATTCCTTATTTTAAAGGAGGTGTTGTTTAGTCTTAAAGGACGTACTTCTAGGTATATATTACTAGATTTAAGCTGGAAGACTTATTTGGATATATAAATCAAAGGTGATGGACTTATTTGAATATAAATTTAAAAATTGAGGGTCTATTAAAATATACAAAATAAAACTTATGTACAATTATTTCGCCCTTCTTTTGTACTTTTGCAGCAAAAACAACTAGAGAGAATGTGTGAATTTAAAGGGTGAATCGTTAAACCCCAAAACAAAAACAAAAACCCTCGCTTCACATAGCCGCCGTATTTGAAAGAACTTTCACAGTTCCGATCATGGAAGACGGCGCTTCTTTCTTGTTCGCCGGAACTAGCTTCAATAAAAAGAAGTACGCCAGCGAGATCGCCCGGTTTAAGGTTCGTCACTTCTCCCTTTTTCTTCACAATTTTACTATGGAGTTTCGGTGTTTAATCGAATATTTTATTCTCTTCGGTTGCGTTTAGGAGAAAAAGGAAACTGAAAACAAAGTGGATTATTTGAGCTCGTTCGAACGGGAAAATCCAGATTCAGAGGAAGCTACCGTTTCTACCAAAAAACGAAAGCGTAGACAAGCGGCTTCAGGTATTTCTTTTCCTTGTACTTTTTTTTAATTTATTAGCTGCTATATTGATTATCATATTCTTTTATTTGGTGATTGATTGTTACATAGAAGCGGTGGAAGGATTTAATGTCTTTAAGAGTTCAAAAAAAACATCGGTAGTAAGCGAAGAGAATAAAACAGATGAGGAAGAAGATAAGCTTTCCAAAGAAAAGAAGAAATTAAACCGAAAATTGGAGGTTCGCTTCTTAAAATCCATGCATTAATTGCCTTTTTACGTAGTATCTTTGATATAGTTTTCATAATTTTGATGCTGAGATTAGGCGGATTCGATTCTGCGGAAAAAGTATAATATTCATGTCTCCGGGAATAATATTGCAGCTCCACTGAAGAGTTTTGCGGAGTTAAGCTCAGTGTATGTGCTCCTCTGTGTTCTTTTTAAAATATTAGACGACATTGACTTCGTCTTTTGGTTGCATGAATTGAGCTTTTCTTGAATTATGCAGATATGGATGTGAGTCTTATTTGTTGCAGAATTTTGCTAAACTTGGATTTAAAGAGCCAACACCTATTCAACGGCAGGCTATCCCGATTCTTCTGTCTGTATGTTCTTTTATTTACCTATTACTACTTGTATTCCCTACATTTTTAATTTTTTGTTGGCGATTAGGCTATGCAGTAAGAAGATCAGTATTTGGCTTTTTTGCTTTATGTAGATTCACTAAAGTCTCTTATAGGCTGAAAACTGAAATGTTTTGTCATTGTTTGTGAAGGGCCGAGAATGCTTTGCTTGTGCTCCAACTGGATCTGGAAAAACCTTGGCTTTTGCATCACCCATGCTTATGAAACTCAAGGTATCTTTCCTTTGAATACATTTTAATAATTTTTTGCGAAGATTATTGCCAAGTTTTCTGATCAGCTTCCTTCATCTATCAGCATGCATCAACTGAAGGCGTTAGAGCTGTTATATTGTGTCCCACTCGTGAGCTAGCTGCCCAGACAACCAGAGAGTGCAAAATGCTTTCAGAAGGCAATAAGTTTTATATCAAGTTATTGACTAAAAAGCTCATAAGAAGTGGGGATTTATCAAAGCTGCGTTGTGATATACTTATATCCACACCACTTCGCTTGCGTTCAGCTATCAAGAAAAAGAAACTTGATTTGAGCAGGTTTGGGTTATTAATTGTCCTGAAAGATACATTTAATTTCTCATTTTAGATTGTAGAGAGATCAATAGGATGAATATGTAGGTAAGTGGATGCTGAAAGCTCTTTAAACATTACTAATTATTTGATTAGTTCTGGTTTATTATAACTATTTATTTGAATGGTTTTTAGTGCTCATGATTTTTGGGAAAACTATGCTTAGAACATTTTGTTTTTATCAGAATGGATAGAACAGTCTATGAATGTCTCAAGGTTGAACATTAGTTTTGAATCTAAACTGCTTTCTTGGCACAAATTTTATCTCTCTTCAGGGTTGAATATCTTGTCCTGGATGAATCTGACAAACTGTTTGAGCTTGGCTTGATAAAGCAGATCGATGCTGTGGTTAAAGCATGTTCTAATCCTTCAATAATACGTTCATTATTTAGTGCTACTTTACCTGATTCTGTTGAGGAACTTGCACGCACCATAATGCATGATGCTGTTCGAGTGATTATTGGCCGAAAGTAAGTATGCTATTATTACTTCTCAACAGTGAAGATGAATCCTCTTTGACATGCTTCAACTTTTTTATATTTATCCAGGAATACAGCCTCTGATTCTGTTAATCAAAAGTTAGTTTTTGCTGGAACTGAAGAAGGAAAACTCCTTGCACTTCGTCAGAGTTTTCAAGAGGTATGCTGCTTGATACGATGTTGAGAAAGCTATTTCTCTTGCAATTATGGTCACTTCCTATCATTCTGATGTTATAACATAGACAATCCACCTTATATACCCTTAGAAATTGTGTTCGGTTATCCTGTTCATGGACTCATGCCTGACTTATGGATATGGGGATAAGGATCCTCCAACATGGAAAATTAAGAAAAGTCTAACCATACCTGTTTTGGATACATACCCGTTTCCGACACACACACACGTCTGAGCGACATAGGTTGTACCAATATCCCTTATTTTATTTATTGCATTAGCAATATTTTGCTTGATGTTGTGGAGGATATGATCATAAAAAATCCATTTTCTTTTCTTGTTATCCATTTAGATGTTTTTCATCTGGAATGTGTCTTAACCATATTCTTTCTTTTGTATTAACATGCTTGGCAGTAGAAATTGAATCCACCGGTTTTAATCTTTGTACAAAGCAAAGAACGAGCAAAGGAACTGTATGAAGAGCTGAAATTTGATAATATTAGAGTTAGTGTCATCCATTCCGACTTATCTGAAATACAGGTAAAGGCTATTTCCATGCTTATTAACTCAGCTGGATCCGTTCTTGTTTTGCTTTCCGCCTGCACCAACAAAATAATTCTAAATTTACTTGGTCCCGACATCTTATAATTTGAATGCAGCGTGAAAATGTTGTTAATGACTTCCGGGCTGGCAAAACATGGGTTTTGATTGCTACTGATGTCATTGCCCGTGGTATGGATTTCAAAGGTGTCAATTGTGTGATTAATTATGATTTTCCAGATTCCGCTGCTGCATACATTCACCGAATCGGTATGCTGCAGACCTTGCTTGTTAAATAGATGGAAATATATTGTCTTTATTTTATTTTGTGTGGTTATTTTAACAAAGTTTAATTATTGTCTCAAATAGGTCGGTCCGGCAGAGCAGGGAGGACCGGAGAAGCTATTACTTTCTACACAGAAGATGATGTTCCGTTTTTGCGTAACATAGCTAATGTGATGTCAGCGTCCGGATGTGAGGTCCCATCCTGGATCATGGCTATGCGTAAGCTAAGGTGGAAGAAGCATCGGCCAAAACGAGAGTCGATTTTAACTATACCAGATAATGCGGAAGATTAAACAAATAGGGAACTATTTGCACCGGATTTCTCTTACTTTTATCGCAGAGCTCTTTATTTCGTAACTTGTCGTCTGATTGGACTTTTATTGTCGAGGCCCTGTTTGGTGCACCAACCAGTGCGGTGAAGATTATTTATGCCTCGATCGAGACCAAAACAGCACACGGACATTGATTGCTGTAGGTTTTGGGGTCAATGTTCCTACAATTTTTAGAGACATTGGTTTATTTAGGCTACCGTTATCCAAATGCAAAACATAGGTTAAAGGCTTCCTGCTTAAAACTATGGTCGGGTAATAACTACCATTATTATAACGGTTAATATATATACGTATTATTTTGTTTTTTCATTGAAAAATAAGTCCATGAAGTATGTTGTAATTTTTTTTTTTTGAAAAATATTTTAAGTTAAAATTAACAGATAACATATTTTAAAGACATTGTTTAGATAAACTAAAAATGTCAGATTAACAGATAACTTTAATTTTTTTTTGAATAATGGATTTGGATATATAATTCATTTTCATTCTTTTTAATTTCAACCGGTTTCAAAGTATATTATTTTTGCAAATAACAGAATGGGGTATCCAATTCATTTTACACTTTCTAAGATTTTAGGTAAGCTTATTTTTCTCATATTCAAATTTAGACATTTTAATTGTTATCTATCATGAATTTGGAGTAGATTACTTATGCAGTCGAAAATCAAAGTTTATTTCACTTTTTAAAATTTTAACGAATATTCACTTAATACATTAATTAGTTCAAGTTTCATACAAATAATATTTGGATTTTGAAATGTTTAAATTCAAATTTTACAAAATAAAAAAAAGGAAAATATCAAATTTATCATTAACCTTATAAAACACTAAATGCTTCTAAGGCAAAAATCCGAAATCAACTTGCTTAAAGAAAAAAAAACCCCTTAAACTATTCATAATCCTTTTTAAATCGATTTAATAAAATATTTAAATCAAGAATAATCATATCTAAATACATTTAAATTGTGATTTTTAAAAGATAAGAGTTGAATTAAAACTCAGATTAAGACATGCTAGATTTCGACCTAAAATATTTTTGTGTGTGACATTATATAAAATCACAAAGCATGGGAGCATAGCCCTTGCATTCAAAGTAATAAGTTCTTCGGAGCCTTCCAATGGATCTTTAGACAAACTTGCCACCGAATCGAACCCGCCTTCTCGTCCTTCAACGAGTCCGAGACCTTGTCGGCAACACCGAGCGACCCTTCCGGCAATTACTTGGCAAACAACAACAGCTTTCCTAGCACAAATCTTATTATTAACACCGTATTCCTTCGTAACTCTCCGAGCAATCTTATTATTAACATCGCATTCCTTCGTAACTCTCCGATGTGCTCGTCGGCTATTGTTGCTTAACACCACCGATTCCTCACCCGTCGACCCGACTAACTGGACCATTCTGCAAACCCCACAAGTTTCCCTGCTACAAATCCTTGACAACTCATTGTTACCTAAGGAACAAGTAACAATGGCACCATGGAACCTTAACAGTTCATTGCCATCAACAGCCAATCTCCGAGAAATATTTGCAGACTTGGATTTAACAATCTCCCTATACTCTTCAAACCTCTTGAGAACACCGACGTTATGATTGATCTTCAATATTTTCTCGATTTTGGGTCCGGCTTTACCGTCCCAACCGGACATGAACATGGTTTCGACAACTCGAAAAGCCGGGTCCTTTTCGCAGAGTTTCGAAACCAGACACGAATCTGTGCTGTTCGTTGAAGGGACAGGACTGGGGTGTGTTAATGTTGTGTTCATGTTGGAACAATGAGAAAAGACAGAGGTTATGGGAAGAGAAGAACAGGTCCAAACATCTTTTTTGCTGTTGGATTTTGATGTATTTTCTCTTTGTGAGGAAGATGGTTTGGGTTTGGGTTTAAAGCACTTAATGGAGGAACTGGGATGACAGACCAGAGCAGCCATGAGAGCAGCCATTAAGATCTTTTCAGACATTTTTGTTTTTCTAAGAACACAATTTCCTTTGCTAAAGTGTCTGCATATATATATATATATGGAATACCCACGAAATCTGCAGAAACTTTGCATTGAATGTAAAAACAATGGCATGAAACTTGTATGTTTAATGGGAGATTTTAATTGCTTGAATTTGATTTTATTCTGATTTGATTATAATTATAATTATTTAATTTATCAATTGATTAATTTAATTTTGATTTTATGAGGATTTATTAGAAGGACATTCCTTTGTTATTTTATCCTTTCCCATTCAAATTAATTTAAAAATTTTAAATTTCAAAATCTTTAAAACTAAAATTAATTACATTAAAACACATAAATTACAACCACACCTTAAGATTAATAACAGAACTGGACTGTTCTAACATATATGATAATAACTCTTAAAGGCAAAATATCAAGAAATATTTATTTGAATTGGTGTTACAAGTTAATCAAATATTAATTTAGTTAAAACAAATTTAAAAATTAATCTTTAAATGATCATAAATATTATAACATTTTTTATATTTTTGTATAATATTTAAATCAAAGGATTAAATTAATAATTAAAGGTTAAAGTATGTCATTAGTCTATGTATATTTTTTTGTGAATTTAATCTTTATACTCTGATTTGGTTTTAATCATTTTATATTTTATATTTTAAAATTTTAAATTTTAACCACAATGTGTCGCAACCGCCTCTCGGGTGGCCCGAAATTTTCTTCGACTTAAATAAAATATTGGGAGTCTCCACCGATCATTTATTTTCGTAAAAATTTGGTTGACGGAAATATCATCTTACTTGATCTGCGTTTTTACCAGAAATATGTCGGGCTCGGGAGTTGGTTACAGTCAAGGAATGATTAACACCCTTGAACTACTCTTTCGGTACAATTTAATTTATCGGTTTTCTTAATTACGAAAATTGAAATTAAAATTAAAATTAAAAAATTCGATCATAATTATTTACCTTTTGATCAATTAAAATTATCCCTAAAAATCATAAATAAAGTTGCAAAATAAAACATACAAAAACAAAGAATTAGTATTAAGATCGAAATAAAAAAAATAAACATGGATCAAAATACAATAAATACATGAGCCTGAATTGTAATAAAATATAATTATATGGATTAAAATGCAAAAAATATATAAGATAATAGCTAAAATGAAAATAAACAAAGATAAAAAAATAAGAAAAACAGTACCAAATCAAAAATAAATAGTTACTAAAATAAAATAAACATAAAATAAAGTGCCAAAATTAGAAATAAACAAAACAGAAAATATAACATGTTAGTGACTAAATTAAAACTAATGAAATTAAAGTACCAAAAATGAAATAAATAAAATATAGAATTTTAGGGACTGAAATGTAAAAGCACGCAACATTTAATGGGGTTTAATAATTTGTACGCATATATTTGGGGTTATTATGCAAAATACGGTAGGAATTGAGAGTACTTGAATGCGAATCACCCAACACTTTAAGCGACCAAAGTAAAAGATAACCAAAATATAGGGACCCTAAGTTAGATTAAACCAAAATATAAAGTAAAACACTCCTCCTTCCTTTCATTTCCAGAATGCGTGAAACCCACAAAGCATATCCCTCCATTTTCTAACTCTGCTCGACATATCAGATCCAATTTCTTCATCTCCCTCAAGTAACGCCGCTCATCTCCTCAAATACTCAAACACCGACCATTGCGATCGGAGGCTATTCACGCTCTCAACTCCGAACAAAGACAACACCACCCCAACAAATACCATGGCATCTAGGTAGTTATAAATCCCTAACTCATATACATTTTTTTGAAACCGTGAAAAATTTGTATATAAACCACGAACAAAAATTATACTAACCGGTTTTTTAGTTTCAATCTAAGAATTAAACAAATAAACTTAAAACTAAGATACAAATTGAAATACCTTATGATTCAATTCTGTTTTGATTGCTGAAAATTTTCTTTTTTCGTATTTTATTTTTGTTCATTTTTTCTTTTGAAAAACGAAAGGAATATGGCCCCCCTTTTTTTCTCCTTGTTTACATGGTTTCGGGTTATATACCCTTACAAAGAAAGAAAAAAAACAAACAATTATGGAGCAATATGGGTGAAGCGGTATGGGCAGCGACACATTATGGTGGAGCTGAACATGGGTGAAGCGTTAGTGTGTTGTGTTGGTGGCCGACAAGTATGGTCACGAGATGAGTGTAGGTAGCGTGGGTAAAGCTGGCGTGGGGCACTGCAGCATGGACAAAAATTGGTTATTACAGCTGCCCTTCTTTGCACATTCTTGTGTTAACAAGAATAGGGCAAAGACGAAAAAGACAACCAGTTTTTGTCAGGTCCTTTTTTGTTTTTGAGGCTTGATACATTTGTTAGGGAGTAACTGTAATTGGGCTTCAGGCTGAGCCTGGAATTAGGCCTTGGTCTTCTTCTCGATTAAAGACCTCGGCTTGAAAATTCTTCCAGAATGTAGTTCCTCGTTGAGGTCTTTGATGACAGATAACCCTTCTTGCCTTGAGCTATGCTTTAAATTTGATATGCCTAAGTGTAATCAAACTTGAAGGTCTTTGTTGACAGATAACCCTTCTAGCCTTGAGTTATGTTTCAATTGATATGCCTTTGAGCTGAGTGTAGTTAAACTCGAAGGTCTTTGTCGGAAGATAACCCTTCTAGCCTTGAGTTATGTTGTAAATGATGTGCCTTGGAGCTGAGCGTAGTCTAACTCAAAAGTCTTTGATGAAAAATAACCCTTCTCGGATTGAGTTATGCTGCAAATGATGTGCCTTGGAGCTGAGCGTAGTCGAACTCGATGGTCTTTGGCAGATAACCCTTCTTGCCTTGAGTTATGCTGCAAATGATGTGCCTTTGAGCTGAGTGTAATCGAACTCGAAGGTCTTGGTTGGAAAATAACTCTTCTAGCCTTGAGTTATGCTGTAAATGATGTGCCTTTGAGCTGAGTGTAATCAAACTCGAAGGTTTTTTGTTTGTAGATAGCCCTTCTTGCCTTAAGCTAGTGCAAATGAGCACGATATCCTTCGTCGTGAAGTTGAAATGTGAATGACCCATTCATTGTGAAGTTGAGCCTCGAATTGGATATCCTTCGTTGTGAAGTTGAAATCCAAGGGTTGCATTATTGCTGGTGGACATGATATATATTTCGTTGTGAAGTTGAAATCATGGATGACCCCTTCGTCGTGAAGTTGAAACTTGAATTGGATATCCTTCGTCGAGAAGTTGAAATCCAAGTTAAGTTGCATTGTTTCGAGGCCAATATCATTCGCCGTGAAGTTCAAATTGACTCTGAAACTGGAAAGTTTATTGACATACACTCATTCTTTGAGCTGGATATCCTTCGTTGTGAAGTTGAAATCCAATCTAGAGATAGATGTTGCTTGTGTGTATGATTCCCTTCGTCGTGAAGTTGAAACCGTAGATGTGTGGGCACGATATCCTCCGTCGTGGAGTTGAAATCGTGGATCCGTTGGTACGATATCCTCCGTCGTGGAGTTGAAATCGCGGATGACCCCTTCATCGTGAAGTTGAGCCTTGACTTGAATATCCTTCATCGTGAAGTTGGCTTCGAGTTAGATATCATTCGTCGTGAAGTTGAAATATACTCTCGAGCAAATTGTGAGTTCAATATCCTTCGATGTGAAGTTGAAATTGACTCTGAATGAAACTGGAAAATTGCTTGTTGAGTACAATATCATTTGTTGTAAAGTTGAAATTGACTCTGAATAAAATTGAAAAGTTGTTTGTTGACAGACGCTCCTTCGCTGTGAAGTTGAGCATCCACCATCAATTTCTGAATGTGATTTTGAATCGAGTATCTTTCTTCTTGAAGTTGAAACTTGAATCTAAAAGCTGAAAAAAAAATATGTATAAAAAATGATGAATGTGATGATCTTAAGTATGTCTAAGATGCATACAACATGAATTAGTTTTATCTCCTCGTGCTTTGTCTGCTTGTTCCTACATGTGGAGGAAATGCCTTCAGAAGATCTGATCGTTTGCATCATGATGTTGAATCCCCAAATATGCCACAATATTCAATATTGAATCTCCAAATACCCAAACATTTACTGTTGAATCTTTAAAGATGCCTTGTTGTTCCTTATTGCTTGCTTCAGCACTGATTTTAAGCATGAGCTTTATGCCTGAGAGCCATATGTCAAATACAAAGATCCACTCTAGAGAGATTGTCTTGTTTGAAAAGTGTTTTTCTTCTTCTTTTATTTTTAAAAGTTCTGAAAATGTATTAGAAGAGTTTTGAAAAATGTTTAATCAAAAGTTTTAAAAATATTGCCCCTTTCTCAGTTTCATAATTGAGACAAATCATAAAACTAGAGTTCATTGGACATCAAAGAATTAATTACAATGTTAATCCTTCAATAAATTATAGCTATTTGGCAAGTATCAAGATCAAAGCTATCTTTGGGAAATGGTTAAGAAATGAAATAATAAGAAAGTCTCAGGTTATTGTGTTTGGTAAATGGTTTGGCCTTCTTATTTCTTTGATGTTCATTGATATGATGGGATAGCTTGTATGCTCCTCTATTGGACGTGTTCGCCGGCTCCCTGCACTTATGGTCACGCATTGTGCAATGCCTTATCAAGGAATTTGTGCGATTGCCTCAGCTGCACAATTTTTACATTCAAGCCACCTTTTCAGGTTTTCAACTCGAATCCTCCTTTGGTTTTAAGACGTCATTCAAATTTACGTCTTGAACCCCATTTATTATTTTTTCTCTATCATGCATTAAATATTTAGAAAACTTTTTACAAATAAAGATTAATCCTGATGGGCGGATGAAATCTGAAGATATTCTCTTCTGTTCAGAAATTCATGTGATTATAAATGACTTTCAAGGCACGTAATGTAGGCCATGGTTCATGGTTATGAAAGAAAAATGATAAATAGGCTCAAACAAGTGTTTCAAGGTATTGAACCAAGAATCAATTCATTCTGATGTCGTCAATCA